GACTGTTATCATATAGTTACTAAAATTTTGGCAATAAACATGTAAAGGAAAGTACAAATGTGAGAGAGACAGGGAATAAATAGTGATGGAGTTTATTAAGATTCATTCTGGGGTGGGAGATGAGAACCTCAGTAATGACTTTACCTAAAACTGAGAATAGAAAGTAAAAGGCCAGCCTTGGGGAAAACAATTTCTTATCCTGGTGAAAGGATGTAAAGGCTAGTGGAAAAAACACTTTAAATGTTTCCAAGAGCCAACTGAAAATGTGGGTAGGAGACCAGAGAGGGTTAAGGATCTCTTCATGTCCTTAGTGATCCTGAATCCTTGCCAAGGCAATCATTTTAAACTTTGGATTTAAGGCTATTCCCATGAAGTTAGCAAAAAGATTCTGCAACATTAATACATACCTTTGGCAAACCCTGCAACCTTTGATAATGGTAATTTTGTCAATTGCTAAGCATTGTCATGGTACATGCTTAATTCTTAATTGTTTCATAATTGTTCTCCCCCAAAGTCAGTGCTGGGGATTGAACACAAGACCTTGTGCCTGCTAGGTAAAGTGCTCTACCACTGAGCTATATCCTTAGCCCAATTGTTCCACAATTCTTAATTCAAATTCATGAAATTTTGGCTCAACTAACAATTATAAGATTTCTTATGATATAGAAACTATTGTGTCATGAAACATGTTAAACAAGACAAAATAAAAGATTTAAAATATAAACACCTACTGCATACCACGCTTTGTATGCTGGCTAGAACATTTAATTTCCACAACAATTTAAAAGGTAATTACTATGGTTACTTTTTCAAGTATTACCTTTCCCTCCTTCCTTATAAATTCCTTAGTGCTAAATTCAATGATTACATTTATGTCTCCAGTCTTCTCAATTTCTCAGTAACACTCCACGGTTGATCCTCGAGATTAAGTGATGGAAGCTTTCCTGAAACACCTCCTTCTCAAACTATGTAATCTCATAATCTAGAAGTGTTCTTATGCTAGAATGCTCCTCTACTGACTCGCAGGGTAGGTGCTGTGTTCAGGTATCCTTGCTGTCTACACAGTAATCCTAAATAAATTCATCAGCATGACTTTAGCATCCCGATTGTTTTCAGAATGTGATTCTTGGGTAGCAGAAGCAATGGCACCAACTGGAAAAAAATTAGGAATGCAAATTATTGGGTCCTCACAGATCTAAGGAATCAGAAATTGGGGATAAGCCTTATCGATTACTATTTTAACAAGCTTTAATGGTGTTCCTGATGCACTCAGAAGATTCAAAACCAAGGATCTAGATTAGTGTTTTTTATAATACAGTTTGCAGTTATCTGTTAGTTATGAAATAAACTGAATTGCTACCAGCATTTTAAAAAATAAAATTCATCACATTATAAAAATAAGCAATAGTTTGTGAAACTTTTGTTTCAATATACACGCATACTCCTACATATATGCATCTACATTAGTTGTTATATAGTTTGGGTTTTGTGTCCTCCAAAGGTCTTGTTGGAACCGGTAGAACCATTAGGAGCCAGGGCCTAGTGAAAGGAAGTTAAGGTCATGAAGGCCATGCCACTGAAAGGATATGGGGATGTCGACCTCCCCCTAATTCTCCACCTCTCTCTGCCCCCAAGAGGTGAGCAGCTCCTTGGCCATGAATGTACTGAGTCATCAAAGGCCCCAAACAAGTAACTGAGGACTGAAACTGTAAGCCAAAATAAAATTTTTCAATTAAGCAGATGTTCTCAAATATTCTGTCACATGATGGAAATCTAACTCACACAGTTGTTAGATTTCCATCATGTGACAGAATATTCGAGAACATCTGATTTGTTACGTGAAATTTTAAGTTACCATGAGTACAGTCCAAAAGAAAAAAAAAAAAACTTGATTTATACGATGACTGTAAGAACCATACCTTTGTCAGTTAGATCTTATCTTGGCCTTTCTTAACCATTCTACTTCACATTGCCACATCTGAGGCATTTATTTTCTCATACAATCTTTCTGTATTTTATCTTAAATTTTATTTATTTAAATCTAGTTATTTTATTCACAATGTTTATCACTATTTAAACTATCTTATTTATAATCTTCCTCCTCTACTGGAATATCAGCTAATGAAAGAATGACCATGTTCCCTGCGACATTCCAAACTCCTAGAACAGAGTCTGCCCACTTGTGACATCCACTTGACAAACACTTCTTGACTGGACGAACTTTTTAATTAACGACCTTTTAATACCTTTAAAGTGAGGTGTGCTTCATGTTGGTGATCTTGCTAAGAAAGGTTAGGGTCATGGGCCTAACCCTGAAGTCAAGCTATTCACTTCAGAGTTGTGGACCTCAGGAAAGTTATATAATCATATTTCACCACGATTAAAAGAAATATTTAGACTGGACAGTAAAAATCTGATAAAACAGTGACCTGGTTTACTTTCAGTTTTGAATAGAGGAGCAGAGTATTAATTTAGCAAGAGTTAAGAAACTAAGAAAAACCCACGAGATCATCCCAAAGGAAATATACAGTGGCCAGAGGCATTAGGCTTGCCTGTATTATAAATATGAACCATCCAAGAAATACTCAATAAAATTCAAACTTTTTTAGAGGTTAACAGTGAAAATCAAAGGGATTTAAAACAGGAAGGGAATATACATTGAGAAAGAAAACATCAGAGACCAAAATAAATGAAGAGAGGAGTCACCTATACAACCCAAATAGGTTTGTTGGAGAATATGTGAGATGTCACAAGTTTAAAGTCAGAAGGTATTAGGAGTCTTTTTATGCATTTAGTGTAAAGAGCTATCTTTTCTGAGCCTCAGGATGCCATGCATTTGTGCCTGTGCATGTTACGTACGCATACCTGAGGGTGCCATAGTAAGGAGAGGAGGGATGCTTGACCTTTCTCCCAGCCCGAGAGTGCCATTCACAGAAGACCCCCACATCACTTTGTACCTATCTCTGCTATAGTAATGTGTTTTAACAGCAAGTGTAGATGATAATATTGGCTCTGGAGTCACAGTGCCTGGGTTTGAACCCCAATTCCCACTATTTATTAGCTGTTTGTGACCCATTTCTTAATTTTTCTAAACATGTTTTCTAATTAGAGTCCTCACAAAATGTCAACTGTGTTAATAATATATGTAAAGGCCACTCCTAGTCACCCAGAGCACTTACCAGGTAACCCAGTTCTTATGCTGAGCTTTCTCACTGTTCACAACAATCCTATGAGACAGAGGTTATTCTATGACAGACCCTTGTTTCCTCATTGATAACTAGTGTGTGCCTTGAAGAAGTTAAATGACTTATCCAAGAACACACAGCTACTGCGTGGTAGAACCAATTTCGGAACAGTCTTAGTTGCACACTTATGTCAGGTTTCCCAGTAATTAGGTGTTACTGACTTCTAGCAGCCAGGAATTATGGAGAGTCAACAATCTATTGCCGCTGTGTGCAGCTGCCTTCTCCTCTCTATCAGAATAAGGGAGGACATCAGGACAAGCTCAGATATACTCTTCAAACAGGTTGAGAATCACATGACCAGAGTCCACATCTAACTTTATCCTCATGCCTTTGTGCCTTCCCTTTGTGGCTGGTGCTTCTACTACATAAAGAAAGCTAGCTGTATTTTACCCATTTAACAGCAGACTCACTTAATACTATCACTAAAAGACAAAATGGTATTCAATTAAGATGTGAATAAATGAAGAAAATAATGCATGAAAACGGGTTCTGTAAAACTGAAGGATCAAATTTTTATAAAGTTAACTCAGTTATAGATTTATCTATTTATTTATTTACTTTTGTGTCAGGGATTGAACTTAGGGATACATAGCCACAGAGCCACATCCCCAGCCCTTTTAATTCTTTATTTTGAGAAGGGTTTTGCTAAGTTGCTGAGAGCCTTGCTAAACTGCTGAGGCTGGCTTTGAACCTGCCAGCTTCCTGCCTCAGCCTCCAAGCTACTGGAATTACAGGCGCGTGACACTGAGCCTAGCAGTTTCATTACTTTTCATATTTTATTTCTATTTATTTATATATTTACTATTATATTTAGAAAAATATAAAGTTAACTTAATAATTATTATTAACAATAATAAAAGATATAATATAGTATTCTTTGAATATTAAGTGGCAAGCTAAAGACTGTATTGCTTTATTTCAATCCTCCTCACAACCCTATGAACTAGGAACCATTATTATATACTTTTTATAAAACAGGTCAATCTTAAATGCTGCAGCCAGAATTTTTTAACTTTTAATTTCTATATATAAATCTTTCATATATTTTAGAAAAATGTTTTCATATATTTTATGGTGTTTCACATACCATAAAATTCACCCATTTAAAATAATCAAGTCAGTGATTTTTAATATATCTATAAATTGTACAACTATCATCACTGTCTAATTTTAAAACATTTTCTTCACTTCCCAAAGAAGTTCTGTATACATTAGCAATCGGGTCTAACTCCAGATACTATACATTCATAAAAGAAATGCAAATTCCTTCAAATAAAGTCTCAGCTAAATAATGTATGAATGTGTATTTGATGCAATTAGTATAAAAAATTATGAGTTCTAAAGGATTAAATAAGACTTGGTGGGCCACCAATAATTTTGCGTTAGCAATATCAACATTACTTTGAGTAAGGTAAATAATCAAGAGCTGGCATCAATGCCCAATTCAGATTACTGGTCAAACTTGAGTTAAAAGGACTTTTTAACAGTTTTGTATTCACAACCAAATAGCAAAACTGGAAGGGAATACAGATAAAATAGTGTATAACAAAGCTTCCTTCAATATTCCCTCTGTCAATGTCAAAGAGAAAAGCCTAGGAAATTAGCCACAAAACTTTCAAATATAAATTTTCTTTTTTGGCATATATTCATGCACACATTTTTGAAGTTTCCCCCTGCCCTTTATTGAAAAATGTACAGAAGTCATTAAAGCATAATTTAATAAATCCTGCATTTATTAAACGAAAAGGAACTCACTGTCAGTAAATGCATTTTCTTCTTCATTTTCATCACTGTCTACAGACGGTGCTTTGTAAGGAGGAGGCAGCTTCATAGGAGGTGGAGCTGTTCCTTGCCTCTGAAGATGCAAAATTTGAGAGAAGGGTTAATTGCTTTTGTACAATCCTTTTCTTTGCTGACAAAAACCATAAAAAGAAGAGTCTGGAAATATTTGACTGTAGCCAACTTCAGTTATAATTCAAGGATTCAAAAACAAATAATTTTTTCTCTTACGCTTATGTTATTTTATAAAGGTGCCTCTTGGGATGTAAACGTAGGAAGGCAGAACAGAAATTCAAAAAGCACACCTATGAAGGCTGCTGACCCACCTAAAAGAAAGCATTCTTTCCCAGTGAAAAGGCAAGTATGTACATTTTCTTTACATTGTGGGGAGCTGAATCTTCTTTGTTATAAACAAAATACTTCAAATGAAAAACATTTCTAAAATAAACCTAAAATAAAAACTGCCCAATGCGTTAATTCTATAATTATTTGATTTTTTTTCATTATAGAATCTACAGATTTCATTCTTTAAAAAAATAATGAAACATCAAGGTTTCCCAACTTAAAAGGTATTCATCTGTATGTAGATGGCCAAGACACATTTTAATATTTTAAAAAAGAAATCTCTGTGATGCGTAAGTATTTCTGTACAAGTATGCTTTCAGTTTATATTCCAATGATAGAGCACATCACCATTTGACTTATATAGATAACTGAAGTAGAATAAAACTCTATGATCAGATTACCTTCACAGGACGGAGACATTTTCTTAAACGTGGAGAAAAATAAAACATGCCAAACTTTATAGAGATCCAAGCTGTTCAGAAGAATAGGAGCCAACATACCCGAGCCCTCCACGAATACCAAAATAACTGGATTAAGATTTGCTTTGCTACAGGACCTCAATAAAGTACATTCAATTATCCTTTATAGGACAAAAGCACTAATGGCAGGATATACTTCAGTAAGTGGACAATGCCTGCTCCATTACAGAGAGCAGGCACACGATAAATTCCTCCAAAATAGAAAACACTATTTGAGACTCATGAAAGAAAACACAAACCCATTTTTATTTAAAACAATGTCTAACCAAAGCAGCCGTTATCCACATTTGTAGAAAATTCAGAAATGAATAAAATACAAGAGCAATAAAGGAAGAAAAGATGCCAAGTACAAAATGCTTATTAAACAACAAGAGAATCCAGAAGGGTGTGTCTTTAATTTTTTTTAGTGCAAAAACGCATGTGAGTGAAATGGAGAGTAAGGGCAAATGAATTCTTTTCAAGAAACCTTTTTCTCAGAGTAAGGTTATTCTTCCTCAAAGACAACATCTAGAACAAGGATAGTTGGATTTGAAAATAAATGTTAAGGAGTATGAATTTTTATTAATAACATTTAAAATATATTTAAGGGGAAATTATACATTATTTGATTGGCTTCTACCAACTTGAAAAGAATACAGAATATAGAATAAGAATAAAAGAATAAGAATATAGAATAAGAATATAGAATAAGCATATCCAGATCTGCCTACAGTCTAAATGTGGGTTGCCAAATACCTGGGCATCCTTCTGCTGCACATGGGAGAAAGGTGTGGATAGCACCCAGCTCTCCCTGCAGTAATGAAGGCTGGAGCAAGGTCAATCCAGCTTTGCCAGGTGATGACCATCCCCACGAGGGCAGAGAACAAGACAGACTCAGTGGCATCTTTCAAGGCACATAGTAGGCCTCCCTTAAGTATTTTCTGAATGACTAAATAACTGCTTGTCATTGATGCTGCCCAGGCTCCCTGATAAACTTTTAGAAATGCAAATGATTCTTAGTACTGCATATAAATTTTATCTGATATACAAATGATTTTAGTCCTATAGAAAAGATAACTCCGGAAGATTGTAGTTTTCTTGCCATATACAACATTAACCAATTTTATACCTAAATGGGAGTCTGAAGCATTTGTTCTTTCAGTAGTTATAAGTATTTCACTCTTCAATTTTCTCTGCACCAGGCTTTCGATCTCTTTCCCTCATTGATTGATTTAAATAAATACCTGACACCTGCACATTTTAATTTTTTTTCTTAAATTATACTTTGACAATTTTGGAAGTCCCACTGAGATGCTCAAATAGACTCACCTTCCAGAACAAATTTAAACTATGATGCCTCATATATGCAATTCATGAGCTGTTTAAATCCACTTACATAATTTCTAGGCTCCCATAGTAAATTCAAAGTAATAAAAGAATTTTTCCTTTTTTACTAAAAAAAAATTTCCAATTCTATGTTTTAATTTCTGATAGTAGATAAAAGCTGGTTCTTTGTATTTGGGCTATAACTTATTTCCCATTAGTAGCAGCAATAAATAGATTTGGTTTTATGGTCTGCCCACTTAGTGGCATTTGTTGGAAGGAGGAGATTGTTTCTGTAAGAATCTACTCTCCATGAGCTAAGAAGTAACAGAGAGCATGCTTGTTATTCTCTTTTCTTTGCCTGTTTGTGGTTTTGAACTAAAAAAATGTCTTGTGTCTACTGGAAACAACAGTGCTTTGACAGATAGATGGTGGGTTTTTGCATTTTTTTAGCGGGGAGGATGCTGGGGATTAAACCCAGGGGAGCTTAACCTAGGGAGCAATATCCCTAGCCCTTCTTATTTTTTGAGACAGGAACTCACAACGTTGTATAGGGCCTCTCTAAGATTCTGGGTCTGACCTTAAACCTGCAGTTCTCCTGCCTCTGCCTCCCAAGTTTCTGAGATTGCAGGCATGAGTCACCACGCGCAACTGTGTTTTTGCATTTCTGGGTCTGCATTGTAGGACAGACATTGAAAGCTGTCTGAGTGCCTGTAGGTAAGAAATGTCCTCAATTCTCATGTTCAAAATATAATATTTCCCTATCTTCAGTATATTAATAGAGTACATGTACATCTCTTAAAACAAAACAAAATCTGATTGGCTTATAGAGAGCAATAAACATTATGGAATCTCATATTCCCAGAGTTTCTAGAAAATAATAAAAATAAACTATGACTTTAGATGTGCCAGCCTTAAAAAAATCCTATCTTCACAGAAACCAACTCGGAAGCATTTTAATGTAAGAATCCAGATTCACATGGTCAAAGTGATTTGAGAATTTAGAAACAGCTATACTTCTTCCTGATCTCCTTGATCTCAGCGCAGATTATAAAACAACCTTATATATAGGACTATAAAAACAATGCTACATGACACCCGCATGACCATGTGCCAGGTCTGTACTCGCATGTATATGTTCGAATATATATCCGAATTCACAAATATTTACATATCAACCTGAATATTTTCAGTGTTATGAACTGGATATGAGATGACTCCCTACGACCACCACCAAAAGCTCACGTTAGGCAATGAAGCAGTGTTCAGAGGTGAAATGATTAGAGTGTGAACTGTCAACTACTTAGTGGATTAATCTACTGATGGATTACTAATTTGAAAGGAGTACTGAACTAGGAGGTAACTGTTGGCAGGTGGGGCATGGCTGGAAGAAAACAGGTCACTGGGAGCGTGCCTTGGGGTTTATGTTTTGTCCCTGGCCCCTCAATCTTCTGCTTCCTGGCTGTCATGAGCTAAGCAGTTTTCTTCCTCTGTGTCCTTTCAACATTATGTTCTACCTCATCTTGGATTCAGAGTGATGGAGTCAGACAACCATGTACTGAACATCTGAAACTGTGAACCCAAAGAAACTTTTCCCTCTCAGATATCCTTGTCAGGCATTTTGATCACAGTGACACAAAGCTAATACAACCAGCCAATTTGAAGGCCTAGCACAATGTGAAATATCACTGACTGAACACTGTATTATTTGTTGCTGTTAAGAATAATCAGAGCATATATATATATATATATTTTTTTTTAATATTCTAGGTACCATCAGGAGGTTCACAAGAAATCATTTTGTTCGCAAGGTCCCCCTTAGACCTGAAGTCTAGATCTTTACTGGGACTAGAAGAATGTTATAACATCAATCTTACTGAGTTATAATACATAAAAGAAAATGTTCTCATTTTCAGTACAGCTGGTCCTTAAAATATGATGGTTTGACTTTACAGTGGTACAAAGGCAATACACCAACAAGAGAAACAGTACTTTGAATTTTGATGTTTTTATGGGGTAAGTGACATGGTACAGCACTCTCTTTAGAAGCCAGGCAGCAGAAGTAGCAGTGAGCACAGCTCTCAACCATGGGACCACAAGAAGCAGCAACTACACAGTACGTAGTGTGGCTGAGCTATCATGTTTGCTTAGGTCTGTTAAATGTACTTTCAACTTCCAATATTTTCAATTTATTATGGGTGTCATTATTGGGTGTCATGAGCCAATTGTAAATTGAGCAGCAATTTACAATGCATCTCTTTTATAAGTCTAACATTTTTATAAGTTTAAAAATCTTTATTTGGGGGCTGGGGATGTGGTTCAAGTGGTAGCGTGCTCGCCTGGCATGCGTGTGGCCTGGGTTCGATCCTCAGCACCACGTACAAAGAAAGACGTTGTGTCTGCCGAAAACTAAAAAATAAACATTAAAAAATTCTCTCTCTTTCTCTCTCTCTCTCTCTCAAAAAAAAAAATCTTCATTTTTAGGGTCTCTGCCAGAGACAACATTTTCCTTTGATGAAATTCGGGGGGAAAAAAATGAAGTTGACTAATTGTCAAGTACTGCTTCTCTGGTAACAAATCTCCCAGCTGTGAAATCCATTCAAAGAATATACAAAATAAAACTTTAAAACAATTGGGAAGAAAATATAAAAGAGTTGTTATAAACCTTTAGTAATTTTACTTTTTTTTTTTTTGGTAGCAAGATTGAACCCAAGGGTGCTTTACCACTGAGTGACATCCCCAGTCCTTTTCATTTACTTTGCAACAGGGTCTCTCTAAGTTGCGGAGGCTGGCTTCAAATTTGTGCCTTAGCCTCTGGAGTAGCTGGGATTATAGCCAAGATCTATGATCTTGATTGCCTCTTCTTTCAGGCTCTACATAATGCAAAACAGGTCAGAAAATACTGAAATGAGGCATAAATGAAAGACAAGGAGTTTGAGACCTGCTAATTGATTCTTTTTTAGTTTTTTAGTAACTCTCCTATTAAAAAAAAATTAATGGAAATGACCTCAAGCTAAAATTTCTATTTCTAACCTACAGTTATTAGGAATGAGTTCTGGGTGATTTTTTAATTGCCTTCATTTGTTTGTCCATAATTCTAGAGAACATATATTGCTTTCATCTTAAGGAGAGAATAATGCATAAAAGAATTTCTTCTGATGGTGATAACTTTTGAAGAGATGGATCAGTCACTATTTGAGCATACTGACTTTGGAAAGGGTGTCCTGGGCATACTTCTATTAATTACTAATTTTATTTCTGTTCATTTTTTCTGCACTTTGCCCTCATCTGTGTGCCTCTTGGAATGAAGGTGCTTCATCATTCCAGAATGCAATAAGTGGCTAGGCACATGAGATGTGATTTCAGAGAAAAGGAAAATAGCAAAGAGCACTCTGCAGCCACTAAACACCATTCTGTAATGGACATGTAGATTGGGATACGATTTCACATAGCCTCAGCTTAGTGGTCAGTTGTTTTTCTCTATAATGAGGAACTTAGCTGAAGAGACTGACTGCTAGTAGCTCTGGACTCCTACTGGATTCTCACTGAACACAGACAGCCTTGCTATGTATTCGGCTTAATGGAGCTGGCCAAAATTGATACCAAACACTTAACATTTTTCTTCCTGGGATCTTATGTGGGAGTTTCCTGAATTGACTAAATTACCTGCCAGAAGTAATTAAATTAGTAGCCTCTTTATTTAACTCTGTGGTGCCCACAGACACCATGTCGGTTTCATTTTAGGTATATGCCTGGACTGCTACACAGTAACTGGCTGAGGTTTCCAACAAATATTTGATGAATAGTCAGACCTTCAAGACAACATTATTAATCACTAAGATTCCAGGAATAAGGTAGACTAAATATTCTGAGAAACTCTTCTTATCACATAATAATGGATAAAATTTCTAAAAAGTGATTTGGTAACTTTTCCAGGCCCAAAACAACCATAAATCTTAAATGGGGAGGTTTAGTGGAGTACAGGAAGGTGACACCTGCCTGGAGGATATGCGTCTGTCCCTGGTGACCTAAGACCAGAGATTTTTGTATTTCGGATTCTGTATTCATTCAGTAAACTTGTACTTCATGCCTATTAGATGCCAGGCAATTGAATGAGACCATGATGTCCTTGCCCTCATACAGCTCACATTCCAAACCCAAACCCTCTCATACCTGGGCCTGTCAAGTAGCAGTCACTGAATTCTATCTTGTCTGTCTTGCCTTGCTGGAACGTAAGCTCTAGGAAGGCGGATGATTTTTGTTTATCTTCAACAGCTTTACTGTACTATACTGAGGCATGACTGACATATGAAAAACTGTACACATTTTAAAGAGCACAATTTTAAACCTCAGTACAATCAAAATAATGAACATAAATGTCACCCCCCAAAGTTTATTTATGTCTCTTTTTAAGTCCTTTCCAGACCTTCATCTGGCACCCCATTCCTAGGAACCACTGATCTGTTTTGTTATTATAGATTATATTTTCTAGACCATCAGAGAAACCCAAATATATATATCTACTCATTTTTATTTAATGAGAGCTAAGAATTTATTGAGTTCCAAATGTCCCTTTTGAGGTCAAGAAAGATGGGAAGTTGGACTAAAAATATCATCTTCCCCAACCCTATCCCTGAAAATAAAGCCTGTAACTTCTAAAAGGTCGAGGAAATATTCTGCCAATGATTACCTGCAATCTGTACCAAATACTTCCACAAACAATAACAACAGTCTTTTAGAATCTACATATTATTTGTGGAAAACCACAGAATCTTGATCACACAATATGTGCTACTGCCAACCCAAATATAATCTTTGTGATTACAATCTGAACTCAAGACAAGAGTCAGCTGTCTGTCATTCTTTTCAAGAACCCTTTCCAAAAGTCCTCATCAAAGTTAGCATCTTCATTGTCCCCAGGTATACATCTATAAAGCTTTCCTATGTGTACAATTTAATTATGGCTTTAAAAAAATCTCCCATGGATAAAGATAAAAACAGATCTAACAAATCAAAACATCTGATCACACAAGATTGTAGGGATATTTACTGGCTTTGGCCTTGCTACACTGACACTTATCAAAAAGCAAACAGCTCAAATATGCAAGAAGAAATCATAAATATTTTTAGAAGCTTGAAAGGTTCAAGTTACCTTTTCCTTTTTTTCTGGAGTGTCTTGGCTCTGGTTTTTGGCGATTTTGTTGCCCTTATTATGTATGTTAGGAATGACCTATGATCACAAAAAAAAAAAAAAAAAAGGGAGGAAAAAGAATAAGTTCAAATGCCAGCATCATTACAGTTCTTACTGTGCTGTTACTGTTTTTCAATTTTATTGATTCTATAACATTAGGATTCATTTTGACATAATTATAAATGCATGAAATATAATTTGCATTAATTAGTCTCTAGTACTTACCCTTACCCTCCCCTCCTCCTTGGCTCTGTTCCCTTTCCTCTACTCTACTGATCCATGTATTATTTTTTTTTTAAAAAAATTAGTGTCTTGTGCATATACATAATGATGAGATTCACTGTGGTATATTCATGTATGTACATTGGAAAGTTAATCAGATTCATTCCACTATTTGTACCTTGTTCTGTCCTTTCTACCTCTCCCTCAAATCTCCTTCTACTCCCCTGATCTTTCTTTTATTTTGATGGAATTTCCTAACTCCATCTTCTTTATCTTCTCTTTCTTTTTTCCCCCTAATTTTAGACTACCTTCCACATATCAGAGAAAATATATGTCCCTTCACTTTCTGAGTCTGGCTTATTTCACTTAGCATTATAGTCTCCAGTTCCATCCATTTACCAGCTATTGCTGTTGTTTTGTGGTGTTGAGGATATAACTCAGGGTCTTATGCAAGGAAGGCACTATCACAGAGCCACAACCCCAGTCCTTCTTACTCTACTTCTAAAAAAAACAAATACTTAATTAACTTCATGACTTCATCTAAAATGTAAAGATATGAGAAATGCAATTCTAAGCAAACAATAAAAGTTTGGAAATTTGTCAAGATAAATGACCTCAAAATACTGTAAAATGTAGATAGATAGATATCAGGAATAGAAATTAAAAGGTTTGTGTGCATGGATCCAGAAGATGAAAAAAAGAAGACTTCATTTCATTTTCCAAAGTAAAATCTGAGTGCTGACCTAGGTGTTCTAAAAGGACCTAATATACAGTTGCATTCATTAAATGTTTACAAATAAATGAAGTTCAATTTTATAAGAAGATTTTAATTTTTAATGATGCCAACAACATAGACTACTTTTTGACTCATTTCTTTTTGTAAAACTATGAAAAATCTTAGAAAAATATAATATTTTTGGTTATTCTTTTAAAGCTCTTCAAATAGTTAATACCAATAGTCACCCTGATGACAGACATGAAAATTAAAAAAAAAATCACTCTGCTTTCTTGGAAAATTAAGAACTGCCTAAATGCCAATCTAGATAAAATTTAAAACAAAATAATCCACTTCTTTCTAATTGCAATTTTAATATATATATTTGTAGATAGATACAATACCTTTTTTACTATTATTTATTTTTATATGGTGCTGAGGATAGAACCCAGTGCTTCACATGTGCCAGGCAAACACTCTACCATGAGTCACAAACCCAGCCTTCTAAATGCAATTTAAGATTAAATTTTCTTCACTTTTACTATGCTAAAGAAATAAATCAATTCAGAATGAGAATGAGAAAGTCTCAGGAATATTTAAGAAGAATATAATAATAATGACTTATTAGCATATAAGTCAGTGTTTCCTATCTGAACAGACACTATAATAGTGCTTAGTATTTATTTCTCTATTCAATGTATACAACAACCTAAATCAGAGATTGGCAGGTCTATAGAAATTCATTTCTTATCCCGAAAAATCTTAAAATAAAACATGCTAGTCTAGTTTTGTTTTTTGAATAGAAGAGAAATATTCTGAATGCTTATTATTAAAATTAAATTGACAAAATGCTCACAAAAAGACTACAACTTTTGAGAAAATAGAAGACAGCATATTTCTTGTAAAAGTAAAAAATATATATATTTGTATGAGATTGATAATGCAAAACATGCATGTGCCAAAAAAAACAAGTGCCATTATGGTATTAAGGAAGTACAACTGGACTATAAGAAGAAAGAAGAAAATATGTGATGATAAACTTAATGAGCTGAAGTTAAACCCAATTCAAAAAATTTGTTTTGGAAATGAAAAAAAATGTGATACAGTTATGTTATTAAGTAAAAAAAATAATGTCTTGGCATATAAACTTCCTATAGAGGAGTATAATATAAGTCATGGGTTCTGCTCTCAAATAAGCATTTGCCAAGGAAATCTAAACACATACAAAAATTTTTCCAGCATACTGAAAAAACTGTTGAGAATTTAGAGAGAAGTTTAAAAGGTAATGTGTTGGCGATGCTCCTGAAAAGCACCTGAGAATGTACACATAAGATAATCACCACTCAATTCATAGTATCGTGAGAATTTTTATGTTACTATGGCACTTTTAGATATTGGGCCTTTAGTGGGCATAACATTAGGAAATGACTTTTTAGGTTTTGAGGGAATTGTTCAAAATTTAATGCAAACGGGTCAAAATGATTAAGGTAGCCAGGCACAGTGGAATATGCCTGCAGACCCAACTACTCAGAAGGCTGAGGCACAAGCATCACTTGGGCCCAGGAGATCAGGGACAGCCTGGGCAACAACATTATGAGAACCAATCCCAAAAATTAAACAACAACAACAACAACAAAACCTAAGGCATTGCCTATATTTTTTTTTCCTGGATAATCTATATATGACTTGCACCAATAATTAAGCCAAAAGAATCATTTTGTGAAGTATTAAACTTGATTTGTTTCCTTGCCTCATTCAATAGGAATCCTTTTGTGCTAAAACTGAGTTAAAAATAGAACAAATCATAGACATAGTTTTAACACCATCCACAGGATGTACTCCCTTGGCTGGGACCACAGACTACGGTTCAATGGTTCAATGCTTGACCATCGGAGTGCACAGTGTGGCAGCCTGTTACAACACACGGAGGGGAGAAGTGATGTGAGTGTAGCATGATGATTAAGAGGTTTTCTTTTTCTTTTCTTTCTTTTTTTAACAATTGAAAGAAATAGCACTGTTCATGTCCTCCAAGCAAGAAATTTCCACTTCAGCTCACTAGCAAAGGCTGGATTGAAAACATGGCCTTTTTGGCTGACTCTATAACCTGTTTAAATGCTTTGAATATTTTTTAGCAGGGTATTCACGCAGTTGGCCACATAAATGTACAATTTGATTGACTCGTTTTTACTCAGAATTTATTTCTTGGGAAATGACATTTGGCAAAGAATAATCTGGCCAATTTTCCTATTGAATTCAGTTTCCAGAAATAAAAGTGATGGCCTCAACTACATTCTCAATAGTATAAGAGTTAAAAACTGAATTCCAAAAAACCTAATTAAATTTCAGATTTTATGAAAATGAGAGGACTTTATTCAGTTCACCCTCTCAGTTTGGATGGTGTAAGAACAGCACTAAGAATGGAAGGCTGTGTACTGTGGCGCAGCACAGAGCCGCTGATGGGAGAAGGCCGAGGCCCCTTCATACCAACAGGTTACAAGAATGCTGACCTACCCCATCAAAGCTCCTGCTGCGGCAACCAACCATCTCCCTGCCAGTTCAAAAGGTTCAAAAGCATGAGACTATATTGAAAAGCAAATAATTTTTGTTAAATATGCAAAATTTTCTACTGTTCAGAAGTGCCAAATTTTGAACAACTGTTCTTCAGTTATAGGATTTAAGGATAACACATCTGCGGCACATTGCAATATAATATGATACAACCTGCCATTGACACTTTCATGTCAGAGTTCCAATTCCATACCAGATAACTAATTACAGAAGAAAATTTTTAGAATCAAATACTGTCTTTCTTTTCTTT